CTCCGGTGGCTGCTCCTCCCCCTCCTGCCTCTGCTGTGCTGCTTTGGGCAGCAGGTAGCACAGGGAAGCAATGGTGGCTGTGGGGGATGTGTGCCAGGTAGCAGATGCCCAGCCAAGCAGGGGAGAAGCTGCAGTTGGGCAGCTCCTGCCCCAGCACACAGAGCTCCTGCTTCAGCTCCCAGATACCTTCCACCCACTCCACCCACCTTCAGGTGGTGGTTCAACATGCCAGGCAGGCAGAGTGGGTGGAAAGTGGCCTGGAGCTGGAGCCCCACACAGAGGCAGCAGCTGCCCAGCTGCAACTTCCCTCTGATGGGCACCTGCTGCCTAGCATGTATCCCCATGCCTTCCCCGGGTTACCTCATGCCTGGAGGGACACAGCAGGGGCAGGAGGAGGAGGAGGAAGAGCCACTGGAGGCAGCAGCTCCACCAGGAAGCTGTGTGCACTGGTTGGGGTTGGGGTCAGGTGGGTGGTGCTGTCTGGTGGGGGTAGGGCAGGTGGGGGTGGAAGCATGGCACAGGTTGGCCCAGGAGAGAGCAGGCAGGGCTCAGCCCCAGGAGGAGCACCAACAGGGCAGCCGAGGGCTGGATGGGGTAGGTGGAGGGCTGCACTTTCACCTGCATCACATGCACGAGTTCTGCTGCATGCATCCCCTGCCCCCCCTCCACACCTGGCTGGCTCTCAGGACCTAGTGCATGCGCAGCCCCACAAACACATGTGCATACCCACCTCCCCCATGCTCACACCCCATGCCTCCCCTCCTCTCCCCCACAATATATAAGAGTAAGACTTTATTTTTAGCAACCATGCAATCATCTCTCTCTCTCTATACATATATGTTTCCACAGATACACACACACACTGCTCAAAAAAACATAAATCAGGACAAAATTATTTTTTGAAATAAAATTAAAATATGTTATAGTTATGTTTGATTTTTAGTGTACAATTTGTTTTTATCTGTAATTTGTTAAAATGATATCTGCTGAAAGATTGTGTGTGTATGGCCCTTGACAGCTCACAAAAACTCATTAAGTGGTCCTCCAGCTGAAATAATTGCCCACCCCTGGTCTACTCTGTCAAAGCTTATCAGCATTTGTCACCTTCAGCATGTCACTTTGGGATTATCTGTACTTTCAGGCCAGCTGAATAACAAACCCCATCTTGGTGACTCATCATGATGATGGGTGAATCAGAACTCAGATTTGCACCTGCTTGCTGTAGTATGATAAAGATTACATTTAAAAATCAGTCCTTTAAACTACAGCCTCCAAAGCGGCCACTCTCTGTGAGCCCCAGAGTCTATAAAGGTCTGGCTTCCAAGTGCAAGGGATATGGATGCATTTTAGGCACATGGCGTTCCAGAAGTTCTCTCTAAATGTTTTTTCCCTTTTTCTGCACAAAGCTACTACTGTCTTCTCCTGGACAATGAAACAGTTATTTTGCTTTCTGTGATGGTTATGAGGTTGTCTGATATAAGGCAAATTTTATGCATTTCTTGGGCTGTGGCATGGCCTCCTGTATGGTGTACTAGGATTAGGAGTACGGGAAAATCCTAGCCCACTTGGGATTGTCTACACCACAGTATCCTGGCCATGTCACCTCAAGCATCTCCCACTGGGTTTTCAGGCATCTCTCCAAAACTGGAGGTTTGCTGGTGAGGATGCCTGGGGACAGAATGCTGAGGTCACTTTTGAGCCTGTAGCCTCCACTGTGATTTGGAGAACCTGTTGGGAGGGAAGCCCAGTGCACTTTCGCTTGTGTAGATCCAGGTTCTGAGCATGCTCTGTCCTGGTTGGCACATGCTGCCGCAGCAGTATAAACAAGCCCTTTGAAGCCAGTGGGGAGTTTTGCCATTGGTTTTCATGAAGTTAGGATTTCACCAGTAGAGTCTACTTTCACCTCTACCACAAAATCTGCTCTGCGGTCTCTCTAGCCTCCACCTTGACTTCCTCCTTTTTTTTGGAACCTCTTCTCACTCTGTGTTCATGTAATGCCTAGAGCAATGGAATCTGATCGCAGTGGGAACCTCTAGGCAATACTACATTAATGATGACAAAAACCCCCCAACTTTCCTCAAACTTACCTACAGTAGCAGACGTGCCTGGGAAAAACCGGTCTTCGCAGAATCGCCTTAAAAATGAAGTCTTTCCTACACTTGAATTGCCCACAAAAACGATCTTGAATAAGCTATCAGGGACAGTAGGTATCCTCCTTTCCTCCTTGAACCAAAAACAAACATTAGTATACAATTCTGTACACCTGAAATCTGAAATCTCTTGCCTTTTCCAATTTGCAAGGTTTGAAAGGCAACCTGAGGACAAAAAAAATGGAGGTTATGTATCCTTTCTACTTAATGGCTTAAAAAAAGTAAGGCTAAATATTTTTTTTCTTCTTTAAAATAACTTGGTTTATATTTGAGGATCTTTTTAGCATTATTGCTCATTTTCTTTTTCCTTGAAATATGTCAGGACTGGTTTCCCTTTGTATCACTCAAAGGCACTTTGGAGATCTTTGTTGTGGACATCAAGCTGTCTCCTCATGAAACAACAGTGCTGGGGTATCAAGTCTCTATCAAAGAGATATTTTGCTCCTTTTTTGAAGTAAAAAGTAACAATTTCAGTTAAATAATTAACAAAAAAACCCACCCCTACCAATGTTCTTACACTGGTTTTACAACTCCGTTGACCCACCAGTTTTATACATCTCCCATCCAAACCCAGAAACGCATACAGGTTTCAGAAAGTTTCAATGCTCAACCATTTGAAGGCTCAACATCTGAAATTCAGCATGTAATGGGTGATTTGTGACCTAAAACTCACAGTGGAACTTTGGGGGTGAAGTGCTTCATGAGCTGAAATAAGACAATGTGTATTTTACCCATTCAAATAAAAACCATGAGCTTTGCTCAGCTATACCAGTGAATCACACATAGTGCACCTTCACCTACAAGACAGAGCAAGGATTAGAAGCCTGAGTGTTCTTTCTGTTGCTCAGTTCTTCTCCCAATTGTTACTGGTGTAGATCTGCAAGCTTCAGTGGAGTCAGTCCTGATTTACACCAGTTTAAAACTAGGGTAAGAGAAGAATTGGGACTAGTTAATCCAACTGTTTGTATCTGGCAGAGAAGGGGTGGCAGGATTTAGCCTTTTGAGTATGAAGGAAAGGCAATTTGTTCTGCCCACATATTTTGGGCAGAACATATCATAGAATTAAATGGGAGTAGTTGCAAGAAAGACTGTTTTATACTCTAAATAGGTCATTATACTAGTTGCTTCTCTTTTGTTTTGAGCTGCAGTGATTGAAGGAGAAATAGGGCAGCACCAGCTAGTCTGCAGAGGATGCTATCATCAGACAGAGCATCTGAGATGGGGAGAAGGCAAGATGGAAAGCAAGGGACTAATATTGTAAAAAGGGAGGCAGGAAACTGGATACCCCTGGCAGTAGGGCACCGGGGGCTCTCTCTCTTTTGTATAACATTTTAGGATTACAACATTCATAGATTAATATCTAAATTTGATAGCCACTCAACTGCCTTAGGGGTAGCTACATGAATTGCTTTTAGATAGCCATTAAATTATCTAATTGGGCAATCATTCACAATGTGTTGCACCGTCTCAAAAATTGCACCACAATAGCAACCCGGACACACTTTGATTCTCCATTTATGAAGTAGGCGTCCACATTTTCCATGAAGTGTCTGGATGCGATTCAGAGAGGACCAAATCTTTCTCGGTAAGTCAAATCCTGGCTGGGGAACTGTAGGGTCACTAATGATCTATTTCTGCAGCACGGGCTGACACAGCAGCAGGTTCAGTAGTAGAGGGTATTTCCTGCAACACTAGGTAGAAATCTGAGCCTGACAATACTCTGTGGTCCTATTAAAAAATACTGAGCTATCCTGGGAGAGAAAGAATAGTTATATTTGTAATAGAAGGCGGAAAATATTCCATTGTCTCCTTTAATGGAAATAAATCCATTCACTAGGGTCAAAGTTTGGAGAAAAATCTATATCTATATACACACACATACACACTCATATCTCTTCATGTATTAAAAAACAGCCATTGTTATAACTGTTCAGAGATCTCTTATCTCATCATTCACTTACCCTTTTATATTAAAAACCTAAGCTCCATTGCACCTCTAGGCTGTTAGTAATAAGCATGCTTCTGTAGAAGGAATGTTCTCAATTCTACTGAAAATAATTCTAAGCCTATT